AGATGTGGCGTCGGTGGGGTGGGGGTGCGGGGGGGGGGGGGGCACATACAACATCACAAGCACGCAGGACATGACCTCTGCGCGTGTGCGTGCGCAGGATGGCCAACCTGAGCTACATGAGGAACTTCTGCTTCAGTCAGTCCAGCAAAGACGAGCTGAGTTACTGTCTGAGCACCTTCGAGGCGGCCGTCGAGTACATCAAGCTGGGAAAGCTGCAGCACGTGCTCGCGGTGCGTAGCCCCGCCCACCCCACCGCGCGCACACGAGGAGCGCAAACGCGCACACGGTACATGCGCACGCGCCGCTAAAAGTGTGCGCTGCGTGCAGGGTTGCGTCGATGCGAACGGCGAGGTGCGAATGAACGTGGAGCTGGCGAGCGCCTCGACGCCCATCAGCCGATTGTTCGAGGTCAGCGGCGGGGCCTTCGACCTTTGGCCTTTCCTCTCCTCGCGCAGCTGCACTTCCTCCGTCTCGCCGCTCACTCCCGTGTGTTTGCGTGCAGCACGTCGCCAACGGGAACGAGGCGGAGGTGGAGCGTCTGCTGAGCGAAGGCGAGAGCGAAGAGGACGCGCGGCCGTGTCATCCTTTGTGCGCCTGTGACCTCTGTGACCTTCAACTGTCCGGGTCAGATTTTTTTTTGACTTGTTTGCTGTCAATCCACAGGCGCCCGGTAGCCACCACATGAGTAGCCTGCGGGCCTGTTATAATAATAGCTGAGCACTGATGTGACATTGTAATTTTCTCGAAACGCCATCATCTTCATGAAATTCATCATCCTGATTTTTTTTTTTTCATAGTGTGGCAGCAATATGCTAATTTACAGACACACAACTAAGAAACAAGTCGCAAGTGATGCTAACTCATGTATGGCTCCTGGTGAATATCATCATCATCTTTTTTTTTTTTTTTACATGAATTTGTCATTCGCTCCATGACCTCTGTGACCTTTTCTCTCAGTCACGGCACACACTTTCCTAACGCCACACACACATGCCAAGAAGATGTGGGACGTTGTCTAAACTTGCCCAACCTTCAAGGTGGGCCCTTTACGATACACACAACAAGGTGGGAGGTGCAGCCTAATCTTAGTCTTCGACACAAAAGCTGTGCTGATCTCAAATCCAAAGCGATGCAACAGGTAACTTTTAGTCATTGCAGTGGTTTGCAAAGCTGACTTGGACGGACAAGCTGGGTGAGGCCTCTTCCTCGGCTAGACTTAAAAAAAAAAAATAACGGACGGAGATGAATCAAAACACGGGCGTCCGTCAATGAGTTCAAGAAATATTCATGCGGAATTAAACGTCACCCGCAAAGCCAACTATTCCGAACTTCGGGGCTTAGTTGACAGCGCGCGCAAGCACACACACGACGTGCCCTTCGATGTGGCGCCATGATGCCGGAACTTGGTCGACCGTTTGACCATCCGTCTTTGCCGATGTTTGCAGGAAGCTGAACGACCCGTCCGTCGTCACGGCGTCCTCCAGAGACGAGCGAGGGTACACGCCTCTGCACGTCGCCGCCATCTGCGGTCAGCAAGAACCCCCGCCGCCTCACCCTTTTTGGCTTCCTTTGACTTCCCGCTTTGAAAGTGCATCTTCTGACACGAACGACATGGCCGTGAGCCGAAACGCGCTCGTTTGAAAAATAGCAGCCAGTGTTGACAACTTACTGGAGCTGGCTTGTCCATATACACATGAAAGTTTATATCATGATATCTAAAGACCCCCCCACACACACTCAACTTTTTCTACTTTCGGTCAATCGGGATCACCTGAACTTTCTCAGTTCGCTAAATGCCACCATAATGATTGAAGTAGAGTTGATTTATTGATTTATTTGTCCCCCGCCCCCCCCTACTGAAAGACAGGCAATGCATTAAACATGGTGCCTAATTCTTGTCAAAGTCTAAAAGTTATGCATCCACTTTGAACATAAGGAGAAACAATTCTGACTGTTTTTTTGTCGAAGGGAAAGTTTTCAAGCTTGTTTGCTCTCAGGAGAAACCAAACCAAATCGCAGAAAGAGGTGTGGGGGGGGCACAAACTTGATTTTGATCATTACTGTAAACTGTTTTACTAGCAAAGCAGATTTGAATTCTGTGAATAAAAGCTTTGAGATTTTCTTATGACGACAGCTCCAAACGCAGCGGCTTTCCAACACATCCCGTGTGTGAAAAGCAGATTTGAATTGTGTGAATAAAAGCTTTTGAGATTTTCTTATGACGACAGCGCCAAACGCAGCGGCTTTCCAACACATCCCGTGTGTGTTTTTCTAGGTCAGGCGCAGCTGATTGCCCTTCTGGTGTCCCAAGGCGGCTGCTGCTGTTGCACTACAAGGCGGACGCGGACGCTCAGGACAACAACGGCAACACGCCGCTGCACCTGGCGTGCATGTACGGACACGAGGACGTGAGTCGCGCCTTCGCTCTTTCAGCGCAATTCCAATTCTCACACACACACACACACACACACACACACACACACACACCCGCCATTGGCGAAAAGACTGATGATGATTTTCGTTGCCCTGTGTCAGTGTGTGAAGGCGCTGGTCTACTACGACTTCCAAACGTGCTGCCTGGACCTGCACAACGACAAAGGCGACACGCCGCTGCACTTGGCGTCGCGCTGGGGCTACGAGGCCATCATCCGCGTTCTGCTGGAGAACGGCGCCGGCGTGCGCGCGCTCAACAACAGCGCGCACACGCCCGTCCACTGTGCCCTCAACTCAAAGGTCAATGTGCGTGCGTCCCCGCGTGTCTTGAAAAGGCGTTAGAGTATCCGTCCAGCGTCCCCCGACGACAAATCGCTTCACTTGATTGGCGCCATCTCCAAAAGGATTTTCAGTTCCCCCTTAGATGCCACACCGAGTAGTAAGTTGCACTAGTTCAGCAAATAACAACAAAAAACACAAACTGTGAAATTTGACGATTTACAGTTGTGGGGCTTCTGAGGTTAAAAATAGAAATATTTCTAATATTAGCAAAGTTATTTGTTTGTGTGGACAATACAATTCGGAGTTGGGAATTTAACTTTTTGAGATTTTTATTTTATTTTTTTTTTGTCATTCCCAACTGAAATTTGGCGCCAAACTAAACGTTCAACTAAGAGAATGATCAGTGTAGCTTGTGTGTTTAAAACTTTCAGTTAGCAAGCTTAATGCTGCCGCTAAATAGCATCCATGTCGCCGTCCATCTGACGTGCATTCATGGGCACAGCGGCAGCAATAGTCCCATGATGACATCAGCGGCGGCGACATGGCGGGCCCCCGACACCACCGTCCCCAACGTCCTCACCAGCGCCTGTAACAAGCAGGTCGTTGCGGAGACGCGCCTCCTCATGCGGGGAGCGCCAGCTGCAGGACAGACACAGAGAGGGAGAGAGAGAAAGTGAAGCAGGTTAGTAGCATACGACAAACGTGGTGAGGAGACAACAGTACGCAAAGCAATATTGTCCGTGTTGTTTATTCAGCCCATGAAGGGAGCCATGAGTGAAGATCAGGATTTAAGAAAGCTCGATGAAGGAAAGCTCGTTGCGTATCTAAGGCCTTGTACACACGGAATGATTTTCCAAATCCGGAAAGATTTGCCAGTTGACAGAGTGCTTTTGTTTAATTCGGACAAAAGAAAGCGCGGAGTGACCGAACCGTACTGGTTCGAGGCTGGATCCTTGTGGGACGCCGTCGTTAACTTCCGCAAATGCAGATTCTTAACTAGCCATCGAGGCACCACTGATTGGAAGTGACCTGACAAATAAGCTCGCAAGCAGTTAGCGTGCGCTGCACGTGGCGCCGGTGTCTTGGAAGTCTCTGACGCGCTGGTTGGTGTGCAGGTGCTGACGTTGCTGCAGGAGGCCCAAGAGCAGCGCTGCAGGAATGGCGGCGGCGGCGGCAGCGGCTCTCAGGTTTGCTCCCACAAACGCCAAAAAAGCCGACGGCCCGGTTCACAGAAGCCAAAGAACCGATGGCTCCTGACCAGTTGCCCAATGACGTGTTGTCTTTGCCCCGCCCCCTTCCCTCCGCGTCAGTCCCCGGCGCGGGTTTGCCCTCAGGCGTCCGAGCGCAGCGCTCGGCGTTCGTCCACGTCCAGCGGCACCTCGTCCTCGCCGGACCGGGAGCTCCCGCCCGAGAGCGCGCCGGCGCGACATCGCCAGGTGATGATGTCGCCGACGGCAACAGAGAGCGACTTTGCGTGCTGATCCTGTGTGTGTGTGTGTGTGTGTGTGTGGGATTGACAGGTGGAGAAGCTGCTGCGGGCGGTGGCAGACGGAGACGTTCAAATGGTGACGGCGCTCTACTCTCACGTGAAGCGTTCTCTCTCTTACCCTCGTCACACACACACACTCATTGGAATGTGTGTGCCTCGTTGTCCTCCTCTCGCTCACTCCCATTTCCAATCAGTCCTTTTTTGCTCTCTCATCTCCATTCCTCTTTTATTCTGATTTTCTTCCTCTCTCAATCTTTTATCCTCTCGTGCGTCTGGTGTCTATTTTTTTTCTGTCATTGTATTCTTTCATTCTGTCTCATCCTTTCGTTTTTCTCTTTCCTTTCTTCTTGTTCTCTATTTTGCTGTCGTTCTCCTTTGCTTTTCCATCGCTTCTGATTTTCTTCTCCTTTCTTTTCCTCTTTTCTCTCGCTCTCGTCTGTTTTTCATCCCTGCATGCTATTTCTTCATTTCTCTGCCTCTCTCGCGTTTGTTCTTTTTTTAGCTCAGTCTACGTTTTTCCTCCCTCACTTGTCATCCCTCCCCTCATTTATCGTCGTTTCCCTCTCAATCTCTTCTCTCTTTCCTATTTCTCTTCCGATCCCGCGGCTCCGTTCTTCTTCCGCCACACGCCATCTTTCACGTCTGCATTTCTCTCTCCATCTCCTCCTTCGCCGCGCTGCCGCTGTTCTCTCTCCGTTTCCGTCTCTCATTGCGTCCCTTCTCGTCTGGATGTCGCAGGTGCGTTACCTGTTGGAATGGACGGACGAGGACGAGGCGGACGCGTTGGCCGAGGCGTCTCTGTGTCATCCTCTGTGTCAATGTACGACGTGCGCGCCCGCCCACAAAGTAAATGACACAAGCGCGCATTTCAATCAAAGCACATTGACGCACGCGCTGCGGATGCAACCATCCCAAAGTTTTCACAGTTTAAGGGTCAACCTGCACTATAAATGTGTCGTTGGCCACAAAATAAATAATAATAATAATAATAATAATAATAACTCAAAGTGCCGGAAAGGTGACGCATCAACACACTTGGTGTCTTTGAACTGCTTGTTCGCCACGTTGCGCGCATGTTTGTTGTTGTTTTCAGGCGCGCGCAGTTCCGTGCGGCGCGTTGAGCGCGAAGAGCGCCAACGCGGACGGCGTGACTCCCCTCCACGTGGCCTGCACGTACGGCCGCGCGGAGCTGACGTCGCTTCTCGTCCGCCACGGCGCCGACGTGGACGCGCGCACCGACCGCAAGGCCACGCCCCTTCACCTGGCCAGCCAGAACAACCACCTGCAGGTGGGCGTGTCCTCTGCGCCCGATGGATAGCCGGCCGCCGCGCCGTCGTTGACGTGCCTGCGTGCAGGTGGTGAAGTTCTTGCTGGAGTGCAACGCCAAGCTCAACAAGAAGGATCGCTACGGCAACACGGCCTTGATACACGCCTGTCTCCACGGCAACCTGGACACCGCCGCCACACTCATCCAGGTGAGCCCACGTACAATTCAACCTCATCGGCGAGTGGCCGTTATGTTGCCTCAAGATCGAAAGTCTGGATCCTTTTTATAGATGATAACAACTGAAAATAGTTCAGATTGGTCAGGGGTTTGGGGCCTCCAGTGGCGACCGGGTGTACTGCAGGCGGTAAAATTCAGCCGCTGTGAATGAATGACATCATGACGGCTACCGTGATAACTGCGCCACGTATTTCGTCATTTTGTCTTCTCGTTTTCTCGCCCGTCGCGTGTGGTTCAGAGCGAGGCGCTGGTGAACGTGCGCAACCGTCAGGGCAACACGGCGCTGCACTGCGCCGTGCGGGCCGGTCACCAGGGGCTGGTGGATATCCTGCTGAAGGCCGGAGCCTCCCCGCACCTGCTGAACAAGAAACACCGGACGCCTCTGGATGCCGCGTACCAGCAAGGCGGAAAGGTGACCCCACTCTCGACCCCGTTGCGGCATCCGCACAGGTGGACGGCGACTCGACGCGTCACGATCTAACTTTGCTGTCGTTCAGAACACGGAGATTGTGCGATCGCTCCAGAAGGCGTCGGGACTTTCGCCGGATGACGAGCCCATTAAACTGCTCTCCGTGCCCAAAGGCGCTCTGGGTAATCGCCCAAGTGTGAGACCGCAAACAAACGTCACCTCGATGAAGCGACCTCTCTCTTTTGCTCGTTTTCTCTTCTTCTTTCTTTCTTTCTCTCTCTCACTCTGAAATTTGGAGGGGGGGGGCAGATTCTTCCTCAATTCTTGCCTGAGTTTGTTTTTCGTGTTGTGGCAGACTTCGATAAATCTCAGATGAATGATCTGCTCTGAGCGCATTGACTCGACCAAACGTGGCAGAAAAGTGGGTGGCGGCAGGCAATCCTTTCTCCACTCCACTTGGATTCGTGTCACGCGCCGCACAAAAGATTTGTCTCTGTCGGTCTCCCTTTTTATTTGGTATCATCAGCGAAGCACAATCATACACTTGTTGGCTTGGTATGTCTCGTCGTTTTTCGACTGTGAGCTTCTTGTCAGGCAGCGAACGCTGCACTCTTCTGGTGACATTTAGACATTGCACCTTACCACGCTGTAATCCAGTCGTTTTTTTTGTTTGTTTTTTTTTTTTTTTAAACAGTCCTTCATTTGTCCATAACATGTAGAAGAACTCTCTCATTGCTGTAGTTTTCAGTGTTTTAAAACTGACAATAACAATCAAGATCGGACGAGATGAGAAAATAGTTTGTGCTGATTTTTTTTCTTTCTTTTTTTTTTTTTGGCCGATGTCGTCGTGTTCATTTCGACAGTGAAGGAAGTGTCTGTGAAACTAAAAAAAGCTCTTTCTCTCCTTTGGCGCGCGTGCGTGCAGCTCACTCCTTCGTTCAGCGCCTGAGACACAACGATGCCGCTCGCCACAAGTCGGCTGCCAGCAGGTTGTCGCCTCGTCGGCCCGCCTTAGAAACACCGGACGCCTCTGGATGCCGCGTACCAGCAAGGCGGAAAGGTGACCCCACTCTCGACCCCGTTGCGGCATCCCCGCACAGCTGGACGGCGACTCGACGCGTCACGAGCTAACTTTGCTGTCGTTCAGAACACGGAGATTGTGCGATCGCTCCAGAAGGCGTCGGGACTTTCGCCGGATGACGAGCCCATTAAACTGCTCTCCGTGCCCAAAGGCGCTCTGGGTAATCGCCCAAGTGTGAGACCGCAAACAAACGTCACCTCGATGAAGCGACCTCTCTCTTTTGCTCGTTTTCTCTTCTTCTTTCTTTCTTTCTCTCTCTCACTCTGAAATTTGGAGGGGGGGGGCAGATTCTTCCTCAATTCTTGCCTGAGTTTGGTTTTCGTGATGTGGCAGACTTCCATAAATCTCAGATGAATGATCTGCTCTGAGCACATTCACTCGACCAAACGTGGCGGAAAAGTGGGTGGCGGCAGGCAATCCTTTCTCCACTCCACTTGGATTCGTGTCACGCTCCGCACAAAAGATTTGTCTCTGTCGGTCTCCCTTTTTATTTGGTATCATCAGCGAAGCACAATCATACACTTGTTGGCTTGGTATGTCTCGTCGTTTTTCGACTGGGAGCTTCTTGTCAGGCAGCGAACGCTGGACTCTTCTGGTGACATTTAGACATTGCACCTTACCACGCTGTAATCCAGTCGTTTTTTTTGTTTGTTTTTTTTTTTTTTAAACAGTCCTTCATTTGTCCATAACATGTAGAAGAACTCTCTCATTGCTGTAGTTTTCAGTGTTTTAAAACTGACAATAACAATCAAGATCGGACGAGATGAGAAAATAGTTTGTGCTGATTTTTTTTCTTTCTTTTTTTTTTTTTGGCCGATGTCGTCGTGTTCATTTCGACAGTGAAGGAAGTGTCTGTGAAACTAAAAAAAGCTCTTTCTCTCCTTTGGCGCGCGTGCGTGCAGCTCACTCCTTCGTTCAGCGCCTGAGACACAACGATGCCGCTCGCCACAAGTCGGCTGCCAGCAGGTTGTCGCCTCGTCGGCTCGCCTTCCACCTCGTCCGCTCGGCCACCTTTCGGCGCGTTGATGTGCTTTCGTGTGCTTTCCTTCAGGATTCAGCAGACGAAGAACGCTTCCTGCAGTCCGACTCGGCGTTCGGCTGCACCCGAGCAGGTTCGCTTCATCTTCCTGTTTTAAGTTTCACGCTCTCACGGTACTCAGAACAGCATCACAATAGTGCGCCGTCGAAAACAACATGACGTTGCGGCTCTTTGGGAGCAGCCCGTTTGGAATCTTCGCGCTTGGAATTACATAAAACATGCAAATTGTTGAGCATGTTGCCGGCAAAGTCACAGAGCAAAAGGACCAAAGAGCTGCGGTTGTCTGTCAAATTGATGCCGAATTCAACAACCAAATCTACTAGCTTCATGCTAACATCAAATGTGATTTGCCTCGGATGGAAATCCGCATTGACGTTACGGTTATGACCAGTTGAGCATGACTTGATGTCAGCTGATGTGGGTGCAGGCGAGTCCCAATGTGAGGCGGCTGCGGCGCGGCGGCACAGTGGACGCCGTCGGCCCAACCGCGAGCTCCGACGGCAGTCCCTGCTCGAGGGGGCGGGGCCTGGCCCGCTGGCACACGCTGGACTCGGGAGAGGAGGCGCCGCAGCCGCCCATCAAGGGGCACGCGCGGACGAGACGTCGCCACGACGACGATGACGCGCAGCCCGTCTTTGTGATGACGTCATCATTCTCAAACGGACAGACGCCGAATGCCGCCGTGACGGAACAGTCAGACGACGACGACGCCTGCCGTGATGTCATATCGGGTTTAGTTGCAAGCTCCATTCGACATGTGAACACGCCCCGCCTCCAAGACGCACCCATTTCTAGTGACGTGTCTGCCATCAAAGACACGTCCCTCTCCGGTGACACGTCCCTCATCAAAGACGCACCCCCTACTCGGGACACGCCCAATTCAAGTGATAAATCCCGCATCCAGGACACGCCTGTTTCTAGTGACGCGCCTGACATCAAAGACACACGCCTTGTCCGTGACGAGTCCCTTTCCAGTGAGAACTTGGACTGCAGTGAAACACCCCACGTCCAAGACACGCCCATTCTTGGTGTCACGTCCAACATCAAAGACACGTCCCTCTCCTGTGACGTGCCCCTCATCAAAGACGCACCCCGCACTTGGGACACGCCCAATTCAAGTGACGTACCCCGCATCCAAGACACGCCTGTTTCTCGCGATGTGCCTGACATCAAAGACACGCCCCTTGTTCATGACGAGTCCCTTTCCAGTGAAAACTTGGACTCCAGCGAGACGCCCCGCATCCGAGATACGGCCATTTCCAGTGTCACGTCCGACCTCAAAGACGCGTTCGACTCCCGTGACATGTCCCTCATCAAAAACACACGCCGCACTGGGGACACGCCCAACTCCGGTGACATCCACCAAGACACTCCCGTTTCCGGTGACGCGTCCGACATGAAAGGCAACTCGAGCCAAGTGTGAAGGAACGTCTGCTCGCAATCTCAACATTTGGCAGGGCGTGCGTGCATGCGTGCGCACGGGTGTGTTCAGCCGGCGGGTGGGAAAGACGCACGCGTGTGATGCTCCCAAACAGGAAGTTGTGAAATTGGCCGCCTGTCTTCCGATTGGTCCATCAAGTTTGTTGACGTTTGAAGGGGGGCGGGCACGCTCCCAACTTAGCACTTTGCTGACTTTGTAGCTTTCGCCAAGAGGACAGAAAGGGATCCACATGACTACCCCCACCCCCATTTTCTTTTTTTTTTGTGATGCTCCCAAACAGGAAGTTGTGAAATTGGCCGCCTGTCTTCCGATTGGTCCATCAAGTTTGTTGACGTTTGAAGGGGGGCGGGCACGCTCCCAACTTAGCACTTTGCTGACTTTGTAGCTTTCGCCAAGAGGACAGAAAGGGATCCACATGACTACCCCCACCCCCATTTTCTTTTTTTTTTGTCTTTCTTTTTGTTTTTCCTTTCTTCTTCTACTTCCTCGTTAACGTCCCGGTGCCTTATTTGATTGACACCTCAACAATAATCTCTCAACTTTCAACAAACGTGAAAGCAGTGGTGGTAAATCGGCTCAGTCCTGGCGTAAAAGTGCAGATATTGGTGTTAAAAAAAAAAAAAAAGGAG